ATAATATATTCATGGGAGTGTTTGGGCGGTTAACGTTCCTCGGGGCCGGGGATCTTTTGTTCCTCGTTGGCCAGGAGGACAGAGGAGGCTATCGTCTCATCTGTGTCAGTGAGGTTGAGGGTTTCCTCGAATAGCGCTGGATCGAATTCTTGTTCTAAGATGTCCATATTGGTTACTTCCGAGAAGGGGAAGATCCGGCTGTCGATTTCCTCATCCAATCTGATTGGCGTGGAGGCTCTCATAAACGGGAATGCTTGATCGATTGGGGGTAGGCCCTCCACATCGATATCGTGTAAGGTGTTATGTGCCTCTTCATTGCCCGTCCATTCCCTGCTTGGTTGGTCGGCGAGGTTTTCCTCGGAGGCTATCCAAGTCAAGTTTCTAGCCAGTTGGACGAAATTAAGGAATCCGATGGCTAATAGGATTTTGGTTATCAGGAATTCGCAGGCAGGCGATCTGGATCCCCCCTTCTTAACAATAGTGTAGGCTACTTGACTATCGGTTACTAGGGATGGGATTGTGCCGTATTTGTTCATTGAATATTTGCATCCCACCCAGATCGCGAGGAGCTCTTTCTGATTAATGTGGTGGGTGGCTAGGTCCGGTACCATCACTGGGATGTCAAGGCTTTTCTCACCCTACTACACCACGATGAACAACAGCCATCTCACCCCAGTGGTTGACACCTTTCTGGCCTTCACCAAAGCTAAGTTAATCATCGATGCACTGGAAAACCCCCTGCCTCTACATCATTACGCCAACTCACCAGTATACGTAGACGCTTCCAACTCGCACATAGGAATTAACTTCTGGGAGACTGACAACCTATCAGTAGCCTATAGTGAAGCATGCTTACTGTTCAACGTCCCCACGCACGCCATAAGCCATATCAATGGCAAAGAGATTCTAGCGGTTGGAATGGGAGCCATCATGGCCATACATCGGAATAATGAACACCCGATGATCTTCACCGACTCCTCTGTAGCATACTACACCTTCAGGAAAGGAGGATCAAGATCTCCTTCATTAGAGATCATCGTGACACAGATCATGGTAAAATTGGGATTACCTAACTTCACCGCGATATCCCAAAACATTCAATGGATCCCTTCGGAGGACAACCCTGCGGACCTACCCTCAAGAACCTGGATGGCACCCAGGCGACACATGGAACTCTTCGAAGGACCGATATTGGAAGGACACATCCTGCTCCATCAAGACGACGAATCCTTGTTCGGACCACAATCTGCTCAAAGCACCCCGTCACTGATATCAAACCTTTCAGTACCTGAGGATGACACAACAACAATCTCCTACGACTGGGAACAACTATCAATCAGATCCCAAGACTTGGCCTAACACGTCAATCAAAACTTAACAGACGATAAACAACACTAGCTCAGAACGAATCATCCCTATTATTTATTTACATAAATACATTATATTACGCTAGTTATACTTCATTGTTTATTTTCTATTACTTGCTGTAAAATTTTGATTGACTTATTATTATTAATACTAGTAATAAATAAAGGCCTTTGGGACATCGAAGCCATAAAGGCCAAGATGTCCGGTTATTTCCATGTTTTGCCTGAAAGGGCAAAACATAAACATAGCAAGGAAAGTGGTTGAAAGGTTAATTCAGCCCATTTCTAAGAGTAATAGGAATGTCACCAAAGATAACTGGTTTACCAGTTATGAACTTGCTGCTATACATTTTTTAATTTCCATTCATTAACAATAGTAGGAACTTTAAGAAAAAATAAATAGCAGTTTCCAACATCATTTAATTTTAAAAAGAGAGATATTTGTTCAAGTTTATTTGCCTGCTAAGATAATATGACATTAGTATCATATGTACCAAAAAAGTATAAGCATGATGCTTTCTACCCTTCACTATGATAACAATATTGATACATCAACTGGGGATTTGAAAAAACCAGAAATTATCACATTTTACAATCTTACCAAAGCTGGTGTTGATGTTGTGGATCAGCTATGTTCAAATTATTCAATATCCAGAATAACAAATAGATGGCTTATGACAATTTTTTATAATTTGTTGAATATATCTTGCATAAATTCTTTAATAATTTATAAATCCAATAATTTAAAGGAGATTAATAGATCAAAGTTTATAAAATTATTAGCAATGGAGCTAATAACTCTATTAATGAGTAATAGATATGAAAACCCACATGTTAATAAACTACTAAGGGATAATATTGGGAACATGCTAAATATAGAGGAATTAAAACCTATTTCAACCAAACAAAAAGGAAGGTGCTCCTCTTGTCCAAGGGTTAGGGACAAGAAATCCTCATTTATTTGTTCAAAATTTATATGCAAAGATCATATGTATGTAACATGTCATGAATGTTTTTTTAAAAAAAATGCATGAACTTTAATATCAAATATTTTTTTTAATATCTGATGTTTTATTATAAAATTTATTTAATTATTACTATAAAATATTGAATTAATAAAATATATAATCAAATTTGCTTCCATTCATTTATTTTTGGTCATATCATATGATTAAGGAAAGTTCCAAAAAAAAGATTTTTTTTTGAGCAGCTTTAGTAAATATATCATAACTTTATTTAGAAATAAATGTAAATCTAGAAATTTTGTATTTATTATCTCTAATATTTTTACAATAAGTATATAAAATTTTAGTTCTTAAATTTTATTATTTTCTGAGATATAGCTATTTAAAATTTGGGGTAAAATAGACCCCACCTATGTAACCGCGTGAGTTTTTTTCACCTATGTAGTGAAGGGTTAAATTATGTTATTAGTGAACGTGGATCAAAATATGATCAATACATATTCAGGAAAAGAACTATAAATCAAAAAATATTAGGGAAATGTGTAAAGTCTTATAAATTATTAGCAGGTAAACCTGCCCGTTGCAAAGGGCGGTGCCACACATTAAATGAAGAAGGTAATCATAATCAGGTGCTAGATGGTATTGCCCATCATGCTGCCCTTCCACCCATAGCATCAATAAAATGGACTATTCAGCGGGCTAGATATTTTATAGGTTCTCCATTACCTAGTTCTACGAACAGTTATGATCTAGATATAGCCAATATCTATAGAATAACATGTTCGGGGTTGATATGGCAACAAGCATTTGCAACAGGAACTACCAAGAATTTTGATATTCGTCATCGCCCAAAATCCTATATTGATGGAGGAAAGCAGTCACTGGTATACAGATGGCAAGTTTAAGACATCCCCCTTATTTTTACCCTTTGGACCCTCCATGTCCTATATCATAAAACGGTTGTACCGAATAAAACCCAGATTACATATATAAGGGTCTTGGATGAGATAAAAGGATTACAAGATAATCTAAATCCTATATCGGTGAGCAGGCGGAAATAAATGCCTTTACTCATTCATTTCCATCCATAACTGTGAGTGTTTTTTTTCATATGACCCAAGCAATTTGGAAATAAGCGAGTTACTAGATACAGGTAATGAGTGGTCAAATAAAATTAAACAAATGCTCTCTTGCATTTGTTTCAGTGGATTAGTTGATGCCTTTTATGGATTTTTACAAACACTATTTTATCAAGACAGTGAAAAAGTCTTAGATAATTTTATTACATATTATGAAGCGATTTGGATTTGTAAAATTCTTCGTAATGGAGATAGACAAGCATTCCAATTCCCTTTTTAATCAATATGATGCTACATTGGAGGGAATCCAAAAAAGAAATAATGCTGAAGGTAATTGTTTTTTAAAATTTGCTATCTTTTTAATCATTATTATATAATCATTTTTTATAATTTACTTTGCATCTTTGCCATAATCACACCATCCCTCTATTTGGAAATTTTTAGATGCTCTACGTTTAGAACAATCGTTAACCGAAGCAAAAAATAAACAATATATTTCTGGTACGTAACCCCGAAATAAAGGTGTATCGGGATAGAGCTGAAAATATTGTAATAATTGTATTTGACTATGTAAATCACCCGATTAATGATTATTTAAGGGAAGCATTTGCGTTTACCTAGACATTTGCAGTTTAGTCAAACATCTTTAATAATATAATATGATTTTAAAATATATTACGGATATATTATTGAAATTTAAAATGTAATTATAGTTATTTCTAATATAATTTTATTAAAAGATTTAAACTATGAGATAATTATTATTGAATATATCTAATAATTTAATTCTTATAAGTTATTTATATCATAAAAATGAATCTCACTTCAATTAATAGAGTATATAACAAAAAATTTTACCTAAGCATTTTCAATTTAGTCAAACCCTTATATTTATATTTTCTATAGTCATTTTATAAATAAATAAAAAAATATTGTGCCTTAATTCATTTTTGATTATTTTTTTATAATAGAAAAATTAGCCTAAACATAATATATATTTTTAAGATTTTTAATAAATCTAAAAAATGAGTCAGTCATAATTTGATTTTTTTTTGATCAACATGTGTTGTTAAACGGCCGATTTGGGTCTATTTTAAAAACGGCCGATTTAGATATTAGCCAAAATAATATGTAAGATTCGAGATAGAGGTCCAAACCTTGCTTACATCTATGCACAAAATCTCTAGGCTTACATAATATTATTGGCTACTAATCAACATACCTTAAATGTGGTAAATTGATCCACCAAAGAAATCGGTATAAATATTGATTGTTAATTTTTTTTTATTATTAAATTTTTTATTGATATTACACATTTAGTAAATAAAATTGAGATTTTTGTAAAAAAAAAATATGAAAAAATAATTAATAGGACCAACATTCAAAATGACTTCTATTTAGTCATACTTTTTTTCTACTAATAAATTTATAATAAATTGCAGCTATATTAGATACGCGTCGAATATTCCGCGCCGAATTGATGTGATATCGCAATAAGTACCTTTGTAGGACACTGATTTAAACTTTTAATTTTTGAGTAGATATAAAATCAATTAAATATTTACGAAACTATTTATTTATCCGCATACCTCAAGGAGGTCCCAAACTTGCAACCCCATCATGGTACGAGCTAAGACTCTTCGAAGAGCTCCTTTATAGTCGTCGTTTAAGCCAACTTTATTATCTTTCTCCGTTTTTTTGCTTAGATTAGCTGGTGCAAAATCAACCCATATCACCCCGGTGCCGGCTTGTGCCTCGTATATTCTTACATCTTTTTTAGGTATTTTGACATTGACACCCATTATTGTTCCATCTCGAGACGCTAAAACCATACATGGAGCCGGTCCGTCTTGAAAGGCTAAGGATTGCCAAGTTGTGTGCATGCGTTTGTTTCCGCCTTTTATATAAAAATACAGATAACTAGTGCAGGTTGTTTTGAATAAATTAACTATATTAACTGAAGCTATTTTTTTGGGATGCCTTAAAATGGTCGTCACAAGAAAGAATATTTTTTGTAATTATTTTATCCATTAGAATCATTAGAGTTAAATTGTATATATTAAAAAATATATGGTGATATCGTATTTTTTAAAAACTAATTAAATATTCTACAAGAAAAAAAATATAATTCTAAATCTAGCTATGGAGAATTATATAAGATCAAATGATTACAATTGATTGAATTGGATAATGATGACATTTAACTCTTTATATATGCTATTACAAATACGATTGCAAAATTCTAAGAAATTTTGATAAAATATTGATTATTAATTTTTTTAAGTCCAGCATTTTTTTAAAAAATTAACCTACTATACATTCTTGATAGATTTTCGGTTCCAGTTGTAACATTCCTAAATTAATTAAAAATAAATCTATAAACCACTATTAGTTGAAGTGAAAGAAGAAGGATAAAGTTGAAGACCCGATCGAACTACGTTTTGGGAAAGTGAGAAACGAAAAACGCGGTTAGACCGATCAGAAAAGGCGAAAGATTCTTCCGAATCGCTTGCGGTAGTGTTAGACCATGACTATTGAAGAAAAAAAATGTTAAGTTAATTTTAAAATATATTTCGTCTATTTACAAAAGGCAACGGTAATTGGTTAGGTTATAATGTGTAGATAAATTTTATTTATTCCATAACCTTATTGGTTATCCTATAATCCTTATTTTTTATTAATAATCATAAACAAAAATAGTAAAAACTATTGGTTAATAAAAACTAAATAACAATTGAATGAATAAAATTATTTAATTATATAAACTGCCTAGCTTAGTCTTCAGCCGCTGGGAACGGGGCAGAGTTGTTTAGGGATGAAGATGTGTAAATTTAAAAAATAATACTATGCTTATTTATAGACAAGGTAGTAAAATAATGAGATAGTTTAAGATGTGAAAAATTTAAGGGTCAAAAAAATTTCTCCGATTTTGACAATGTCGTTGCTGTCAAACTTAATCGCGTTAAATAACTACACAACAAAGGACAAGGTACACCCATAACATTTCTATTAGCGATATGCGAGGCACATCTATATATATCCTCTCTCTTATCGTTTATCCACAAAGTAAGAGATGCAGCAACTGAATTAGAGGCCTTATTACTCTATTTAATTAATAAATGTATACAAAGTCAAAGATGTCCAATTTAAGCACAGTTGTTGTGAGCAAGATTTTTGTCCAACTTAGAGAGTTGCCCACTTTATTAAGACTTTTTACTATAAAAATAACCTTTTATTATCTGTTTTTAATTTAGTTAAAAAGTGAGATTAGATTCGACAATTTTCAAATAACTTTTCATTTTAATTATTTCATCAAAATAATGAGTAAAATTATGCATGTATAAATTAGCGTCGATGGGTTTTTTCCGATGTTAATTTTTTCAACTGCAAATCGTTTTTGAGCGCGTTTTTTTGAATTTAAAAATCCTATTTTATCGGAAATGTATTCCATCATGTTTGGAATACCTACCCTATGAATTTCAGATAATTATGTCATGAACATTTTAACTTAATAAATTTATATTAATATTTCCATAGATTTATTATATAAATTATAAATGACTCAAAGTAAATGGGAAAATTGTCTAAAATTTATAAGATAGTTATTCTAAACATGCGGGAATAGATTTCTGGTAGAATCATATTTTTAAATTTAAAAAGCCCTTTAAAAAATAATTTAAAAAACACATAGCCGTTAACATATACATAAAATACTTAAAATTGTATAAAATTATTATAAAATGATTGTATACGAAATAACAATTAATATATTTAAATAAAATAAGATGTTATCCAGGGGCGGACTGGCAGCCGAGTGGGAAGGGGGCTCGAGATTTAACAAATTTGGGGGCCACCTTAGTAAAGAAAAAAATTTTTTTTAAATTAAATTGGCATAAAATCTAAAAATGTTTTAATACAATTTTTTTTTAAATATTAGAAATTTATTAAATATTAATTTAATTATCTGGTGGAATTATAAGCACTATAAAAAATTTCATTCATTTTTTTTAAATACTAGAAATTTATTAAATATTGATTTAATTATCTAGTGGAATTATAAGCACTATAAAAAATTCATTTTTTTTAAAGTTAATGTTTTTATATAGAAAACACAATATTTATAAAAATAATTTATGCCATCTTTATGTTTATTACAAGTATCTTCACCCATTATAAATTTGGTTTATGTTCTAATATAAAATCTAATTTTTCTCCTGCTCAAACTACAAATTTAAAAAAAATTATAACCTCTACTACAATTACATCAACAATGCTCAGAAACTCCAGATTCTTCTTTATCTTTACATGTTAATACAATTTCACCAAATATTCCAATCATTTCCTTCAAATGATAATAGCATTCCTATTCTATCCTTAACTTTAAAGGAAACTGTATCTTCATCTACATTAAAAATACCTTCATCTTTATCTACATTACAAATACCTTCATCTATATCTACGTTATAAATACTTAAGTCTATAAATTCTAATCGAATATCTGGCTTTTCATGCACAGAAGCAGCAAATTTAAAGAAAATCTCACCTATTAAGTCAAATTTATTTCATTTAAATTCAAATGCAACAATTCCACAAAAACGCCTTTTTACAGCAACATCCAATCCAACGCGTGGACCTGAGACTACATCGCGTTTGTAATATAGAGTAGTTATGGAAGATAAAGTACCACGAAATTGGCTTTCAGTTGCTATAATTAATCATGAAATTAGCTATTTACTGCTCAATTTTATAGATTTTGCTGGTTATGAAAATTCATTTTCAAAAAGGTGCACCAGTTTTAAACATATATATTCTGTTGTTGAAATTCATAAAAATTCACCTGTTCATATCCAAGCAGTGGAATAATTTCTTTCTTAAGGCATCCAGTGACAATAGCATACAAGATTCAGCAGGCGCGTACGCAGGAATTTGGTCTGAGGGGGGGGGGGGGGATAATAAAATTTTTTAAGAAATATTATTGTTTTTTAAAAATATCAAGCATAAATTTATAAGGACTAATAACTATTTCTAATACACAATTTTAAATTTATGTGAATTATAAAAAAATTGTATATAAAGAATCACTTAAATGACCCATAATAGAAATTTTAATTTTTTGAGCCTTTACACAAAAAGTTTCTTAGGAATAATTGCATTTTATATGTTATATATTTACAATGTAAAATCCAAACTTCGTTGTGATTGAGCTAAATTTTTCAATTTTCTCATCCCTGCTTGTCGTCAAATGCCTATGAATATTCAAAAGATCCAAACCTTTAAATCTACTTTCAGATGTTGTACTTCTTGGTATGTTTTTCAGAGACCTGCAGGCCAGGCCCCCGGGCTGGACAGTATCTTAATTTTTTTAAATATACCCGGGCCGGGACCAAAATTTTTTTAAAAAAACATCCAAGCCGGGCCTGAAAATTTTATTTTAAAAAAAACCGAGTCGGGCCTAAAAAATTTTTAAAAAAAGCCGGGCCGGGCCTGAAAATTTTTCAAAAAAAACACAGGCCGGGCCGTAAAAAATCTTTAAAAAAATCCGGGCCGTGCCCTGCAAATGGTACTTCTGCAGGCCTCTGTTATTCTTCTTAAAAAAGCGAATGTTCTCTCATTAGTTTACTAATGGGAAGAGTTTATAAACCCTTTTAATACATTGGGAATTTAATCTAAAATGTGTTTAAAATAATGCAGAGCATCCATAGCATTTTGGGACCATATCAACCATAGTTAATCTTATAAACATAGTTATTCAGCTAGTAAGGCATCATAAGATACTTTAACATCTTCATAATAAAAATCTAACAAATATTTTTTTTTCTATCACTATCTGAAAAAGGTTGGGAAAACTTTTGTGGAAGTAATATTTGCAGATTAGTAAGTGCTGCATGATGAATTAAAAATACATTTATTTGGGTTATAAATGTATCAGTATTTAAGATATACTCTTCTACTTATGCTATATTAATGTTTTAACAATGAGCTTGCCTTGCTACAAGTCGAGGGAGACAAATATTAAACACGTATAGCTCTGATTTTGATTCAACAATAAAATATGAAACTCTTCAACATTAGCCCTAATTTCCTTGAGTTCTGATAAAATGCTCTCCGCTATTCGCATCTTCTTAATCAAGTCAATGTCATGTTTTTGAAAAGTAATACTTAAAATAGTTGTATAATTAAATAATATATTCTAATGAGAAATAAAATTTGGAATAAGCATTGAATCCAATAATTTTCTTGCTTCTGAGGAAATATTTCTTTCAGGCCATTGTGATATTTCAGTAATAGCAAATAATTGGCTCTTTTAACTCCTTAAAAGCTGTTAATGCTTGATGGCAGAGACTCTATATCGTTGGACAAGGTTGCAATTTTTTTTCCCTGTTGGACAAGAAGTTTCAGAAATAATAATTATTTGACTAGAAATTTGAAAATGGTAGAAAAATATTACGCCACTAAAAATTTGAAAATAATAAGTAAATATTACTCCGGAAAACTTAAAATCGAAATTAATTGATAAAATAACTTAGTTGATAAATGTGATAATAAATGTAATTAAATATATATTTAATATGTAACAAATATAAACAATATTATTTTTGAAAATATATCCGGCATCTGCATTTTTTGGGATAGCACTCAGGATAAAGCATAAAGCTACAATTTGTTTGCGGCACATTAATAATGGAGAAATTACAGTAAACCTTTTTGCAGTAGTTAAAGTGATTAATTCTTCAGGTAAAGGACTTTTTGAATTATTAAGTTTTTGTCTCTAAACAAGGGCTACAATTATGCAAATTTAAAAACCTCCTAACGGCACAAATTTTTTTGAAAATTTTTGAAATAATTGGGCTTATCAAGATATATACAAACAAAAAACTTAGACATTTTACTGCTTGGAAAATGGTTGAAGATTCTAAATTTTCTCTAAATTCTATAAATTGCTTTCAATATATATATGAAAGCTACAAATATGGCATTATCTATCAATAAAGATTTGGCCGATTTGATGATACCTGATGACATATGTATGGCTGAAACGTAGAATTGGTCATAAAAAGAAGATGTGTTTTGAGGAATGCTCAGATGAACGTCCAAATGACTCTCTTCAAATTTACAGAATTGAATGTTTCGCGATATCATTGATCAGAGAGTAATTAGTTTTACAGAAAAATTTTCGAAAAATCTCATTTAATAACTCATGATCAATATTTCCATCCTAGAAGTTTTGATGAAATTAATAGGTAAGGTGTCGTATTTGTAAATACGTGAATGTTTTATTTTTTTTGTTTAACGCGAAATGTCAATCAACCAATTAAAATAAGGTTGATTGGATAAAAAGATTAGATGTAATAGATATATGTAAAATCATTTTAAAAAATTATATTATTATTATTATTTTTATGAAATTAATTTTTTTTATATTAAAAAGGACGAATTTATTTGATTTTGATTTAATTTAATTATTAATAAAGATATCATTGGTGAGTTATATTTTTGTCTGTTTTGTGATTTTTGTAGTTTCGGGAAATTG